AGTGATGACAAATGTCATATTAGAATATGATTCACAATTATATACACTATCAACATGAATTGGTGCACTCCCCAGTTCTTAAACCAAGTACCAAACCAATTATCAATACCATTCAAAGTTAAACAAAACTCCACCAGAGCTCAGTTTCACACCTGAGGTTTTTAATAATGACTTTGTAAACTTCTGTGTAAATGTGGCAATTGCCTTGCTTCCTAACTAGAAAACACTTTCCCCTTTTAGCCCATTATGGAGCTATAATCCTTTAACATAGTACTATACTACTAAGTACTATAATAATATAAAGCATTTAGAATCATCAGTGCAACAACAGCTGTGAAAGAACAGTTAAAAAAAAGAAAAAGAAACTGATCTTATCTGATTAAAACTTATTAACTCTTTAAGAAAAATGTCCCTGTGAATCTTTTCTTAAAACAGCTACACATTCCCTTATCCTCACTCCAGAGTGGACCATTCCCTTCCAGTGCTCCTACAGCACTCAGTATATCCCTCTTATATAACACTAGTACATAATATTGTAGTTATTTACTTATATGTCTGTATCCCCCACTAGACCTGAGCTTTTTAAGAGCAAAGGACTCTTACCACCTTTTTGCTTAGTATATACATAGACCTTCAAATGCCAGGTCAATAAATTCCTAATTAAATAAATAAATGAAGCCCAAGAAAGTGTGCTTTGGAAGGAGGGGTATATTTGTTGTGGGTTTATTGAGGGGAGGGGAGGTTGAATTTAAAATATCCATGCAAATGGAAATTATTAAAAGCTCCATGCAAATGGAGATTATGCAAATGGTGATTAAATGAAGTCAATATCTGACCATAAAGCTAAAATCTTAAGATTTTACACACTGTTGCAGAGTTTAGCCAGAATTCCATTAACAGCATGTAGGCATGTGACCTATCCTTGTAGAGATCCTAAAAGAACAACTTCAAATCTCCATTCTTCTCCCTCCAGCAGCTCTCATTTATTTTCCTAGAAGCCACCGTCCACAGGGATCAAGGCCCTCTACCTCCCCTGACCCATCAGATGCAATAAGAGCAGTGTCTACAAACTGTTCTACTTCACGCTGGGGAACACTTGCTTCTACCAGGCACTAAACCCTTCTCTGCTTCCAAGTCCACCCACCTCCACCTTTCTTATGTGCAAGGAATCAGGCATAAGAAATGATCTGTTAAACACCAAACAGCACTTGAGACACTTAAAAACAGAATCAATGTTAAGTAGTCATTGTGGGGGGTCATAAGAATCTAAGCTTCCTTTATATTAACTCAACAATATAATATTGCTTATATTGTTAAATTTCTCCGTTCTAAATAACAACTTTACAAGTAAACTTTAAGGACTCCAATTCCTATGCTGAGGACTACCTATGGCTTTGGAGTATCAGTAAACAGTTGGTCTGTTAAACAACTGTGATACTTCAGATCAGTTCTAAGTGATAAAAAAAGCTAGAATGTGAGTGTGTGAATAACCTTACAAAGTTTTCAGTGAAGTTCTATGAAAATAAACACATGTGCGCTTCACTGGTGGCGCAGTGGTTAAGAACCAGCCTGCCAATGCAGGGGACATGGGTTTGATCCCTAGCCTGGGAAGATCCCACGTGCCACGGGGCAACTAAGCCCGTGCGCCACAACTACTGAGCCGGCACCCTAGAGCCCGCGAGCCACAACTACTGAAGCCTGTGCGCCTAGAGCCGGTGCTCCGCAACAAGAGAAGGCACCGCAATGAGAAGCCTGCGCACCGCAACAAACAGTAGCCCCCGCTCGCCGCAACTAGAGAAAGCCCTCACACAGCAACGAAGACCCAATGCAGCCAAAAATTAAATAAATAAATAAATTTATTTTTAAAAGAAAGAAAAGAAACGAAACACATGTACACCATCCCCACCTTCATTAACCTAGAAATAAACTTCAGATATTACAATTCACTTGGAGAAAACTTGCTGGAAGAGGAAAAAAGGTTTGCCACAAGGTTAGGTAATTAATAGGCTGCATATTATTTGGTATACCTTCCAAAAGTGCCTCCGGTGTGTACTAGAAGCAAGCAGCTTAGGAGGGCCGGGTGTAGAGAAGTTTGCAACTGATCTGTCCTCCAGCAGCTGACTGATCCACATGGGCACTGATAGCACTCCACTGAGATAAGTGCTAAGATGGCAGAACTCCTGCCAAAAACAGGCTTATCCCAGGAGCAGGTAAGACAAATAGGGTTCACGCTCCTCTCTTACTTTTTAAAAAAGAAAAAGTTTCAGAAAAGTGATAACTCTTGTTCTATCACAGTGCAAACCAAGTCCCTTTTGGTTTAATCATATAATGTAAAAGATCCTCACATAAGTATACACTTGAACATATAACTAAGTACTTAGATATATGCTCAATAATGTACTTAGGAATGGCTGTGTTATGAACACTACTATGGAAGTCTAAAGCTTTCAATTCTGCCTATCCTGAAAAGCTATTTTCTACTTTAAAAATGTGTAAAATGAGTCATATGCAATAGGAAATCTTCTGTAAAGCAGAAATTTTTAAAGAGAAATTGTTACCCCTGTGTAAATCTTACCTTTCAAGAAAAGATTTGAATGAGAGTTCCAACTATTTTGTTCCAAGTACTTAAATACTTCAGGGTTTTTATTTCTCCTACTAAAAATATTTGTAATCAAAAAGTACTGACAAACATAGCTAATGCCAACTAAGAGTTGTTTTTCTAAACCACCTGTTTTTGCAATAACCACCCTATTTCTATAGCTATTCTAGAAGCCTAAATGCCTAACTAAACTTAATACTGTAACACTGAAACAGTCCTAATCCATTAACATCTTAATATAGATCAAATGCCTTCCTTACTTATTTGCATAAAACAAGTGTTAAGTAAAACCTAGAAAGCACAGTTGCCTTAATATAGATCAAGTGCCTTCCTTACTTATTTGCACAAAACAAGTGTTAAGTAAAACCTAGAAAGCACAGTTGCCTTCCAACACATCCTTGCTGCTGGCTTAAATTTGCCAGATGCCAAAAATATTTCCCACCCTAAAAATCCAAGCTTCTTCATTAATTAAAAAAAAAGGTTTAGTAATCACTGAAAACTACTTATTCAGGAATGAAATTTTTACACAATGGAGAACATGAAAGCCTAACTTTCATACACACTACACACATTATACTTTTCTAAATTATTCCAAGACTTAGTTATCAACTGTGTTGATAACTTTCAAATCTAACTTTGGGGACAGATAGAGCCGTACTGTCTATTTTATTTATTATCTTTGCAATATCCAGATGTGATTCAGAATGAAAAACACTGCTGCAGTGATTTACAAATGGCTATATGAAAGGAATAAAATGATGCACCAAATGGTGGGGGTGTGGAAGGACTGTTCTCCTCTAAATGAAGAAAATTTCTGTGTCCTCTACAGGAGGAAAATGAGAGAGGAAGGGTCAGAAGAAAGTGAATCTAAAACGTATAACTCTTTGCTTCTTGAAACATATATACTAGTGTGTAAAGTATAACTTTCATAGGGGTCACATACTTATTTCAAAATTCGCTCTTCAGCAGTAAGCAAATTTCTGGGCCAGATGTTGAAAGTAAAAAGGAATTTTAGTCTAATAAGCAATAAAAGCTTGAATATGGATTGCAGTGTTTATCTTTTTTTTAAAGGATGCACCTGTCATTCCCATTTTAGGTTGATGACTTTGAGTCCAAGGAAAACGGTCCTATTGTATGCCTGCCAATTCTCATGTGCCTTGATATTTCACTTACTAATTACACTTACTAATTAACTGGACCTCATCAGGAAGATATTAATGATGGTTCAGACACTCAAGAGAGTCGCATAACCTCGGAACGCAAAATACTTCGCAGTCAAAGAGACCTATTTGACTCAAGAGGGGTTGGGATAAGCAGGGAGTAAGGGAGCATATGACACGAAAATCCGCTGGCCAGAGCAGCTGCGCCCAGGTTTTAGACACTTACTGGTTTGCTAGGGTACACGTTAGACAGATGCGTTTTTAGTTTCCCCACGGTCCAGTTCAAGAAGCAGCTAATAGTCTGGTCACTGTATTTCTGATTCGGTGCTTTAATGATGAGGGTCACAGGAATCTCCATCCCATTTTGGTCCATGGTGCCTCCAAGGTCGAACAGAGTCAAGAGGAGCAGCAGTTAAGCCCAAATGAGCCGAGGTGGTTACTGCCGGCGCGGCTGGGATGGGGACGGAAGCGAATGGGTTCTTAATATTCCTTGTCCAAGTCAGTCACAAGTGCATCGGGCGATACAAAGGCCATTGCCGGTGCCGAGGATGATGGCCAGGGGCGGAGACGGCGGCGGCGGCGGGGTCTGGGGGCCCGGCCGGGGGTGCAGTTTTCCCCGCCAGGTTCGGGCTCCGCCGTGCTCCGGACTGCAGAGGGAAGCCAAGGGGAGAGAGAAAGCGGTGAGAAGGTAGAGAGGGGTGAGGGCGCGACAGCCCGAGCCACCGCCCCGCCCCGCTGCGACCAAGCTGAAACGCAACAAGGCCCCGACGCGACGGCCCCGCCACGCGGGCTGGAGAAGGGGACGGGCCGCTCAGGGCGGCCAGCCGCGACAGGCAGGGCTACCTGAGAGATGGCTGCGGGGCCCGCCACCGCCGCCCTCCTCCCCCGGGCACGGCCACCGGTCACACAGTACGGCCGAGCGTCCTCCGCGGCGGCCGCTCCCTTCCTACTGCTCGGCGGCGCCCACGGCCCAGCCCTGGATCTCGCGAGGCGGCGCGGCGGCAGCGGGAGAAGTTGGCCGAAGGGCTCTCCGCCTGACCCCTCCAGCAGGGCAGCAGGAGCGCAAGGCGGGGCGCGGCCGAGATGGCGACAGGTGGCAGGAGGGCGGGGACTAGAATAGGGGTGCCGGCCGCGAGCGCGCCTGTTTTGTTGTTGTTGTTGTGAAGAAGGTCCGGGTCCCCTTTAAGCCGGAAAACGCAGGGCGGAAGTGCGTCAGGGGCGACTCGCCCCCGCGCGCTGCCCTCCAGGTCCCGCCGCCGACCGCCCCTGGCGGCCCAGGGCGGCCGGTGCCGAGTTCTGTGTCGCCTCGAAGTCAGTCGGGCGTGTCGAGGCCGTCAGGCCAGGCCATTCGCTCCGCCTTGCCTCCCCAGCGGTACTCGGGCCTCCACTCGCTTCGCTGGCGTTAGCACATTCTGTTTTGACCACACCCGGAAGACTTGGGAAGTGTTCCTCATCCTTAGAGCTGTCTCTTCAAAAGTTAGTGTCCTTGCTGATGCTCAATCAGACTTCTGCCCATAATTTCTTGTGTCGACTGTCTGCAAAGCACGGTACCTGGAGCTTTGGGGAAGGAGGGACTGGGGGTACATTGCATAAGGAGAATGCTTTTAGTCTACCTCTACTTTCCGTGTGACCCTGGCTAACCTTCCTGAGCCTCAGTTTACTTCTGTAAATGGGGACGGTAATGGCCACCTGACTGTGTGCTGTTGATTAAATGAGCTATGTAGGCAAGCCATCTGGTACAGTTCTGGCGTATATCAGTCTCTCAACTAAATATTAATTAACATGTATTTCCTCTCTGTCTTCTCAAAAGTTGGCAAGTGTTTGTTTACTGAGCACCTACTGTGTGTTGACCACAGTGGGAGATGAAGACGGTTGGCAGTGTTATTTTTCTGGTTTATGGTTTACACGTGGGAACGTGAAGTTTCAGGCTATTGCCCAAAGCCGACTTACTCTCCATTTTCTGCATAGGTTTAGGAGTCAGTGCAGTAAGTTGAGATGTGCATTTGCACAGGTCCAGGCTTCCACTTATAGGTGAATACAAGCACATAATGTAGGGGGCTTTGGGGACCTGATCTCTTCCCCTCTCAGCTGCAGAGGAGTTAGTGAAAGTTAGAGACCAAGAGGAAATTCTTCCTCTCAACAGCTAGTGCCCCAGGATCCCTTACACCCTCTCCTCCTTCACCTCTTTCTTTGTGATAGGACACCTACCATATCTTAGCCATACCCTCTCAATGCTCTTCTAAAATAAGAGTGAAGTTTCATTTATTTCTTGTCATGAAATGAGAACAGTTTACTATGACTTGGATTTCCTGTAGCAGACCCTTTTTCTACCTATTATCTAGTCATCTTAATAGAACCTTAACTTAATTCTAGCTACAAGTACTTTTTCTAGCTCCCTTACATCTAGCAGCAGCCATTCGACACAGCTGTAGCCCGTAAGATGAAAGGTGAAGTTGCTACTGGGGCTTCCAGGGGAGCTTTCAGATGAACATGTTCTGCAGACCAGAGCTCATCCTTGCCCTCTACACCTGTCTTTCTTACTGGAGGAATGTGATGCTGGCAGTGGGGCAGCCACAGCTCAGTCCTGAAGCAACAAACAGGAGAACAAAGGCCTGTGTTACAAGGATGGCAGGACAGAACAATTGAAAGAGGCTGAATCCTTTATGGCATAAGTGTGCCACCATATAAGTCCCAAGCTATCTGCTCTAAGAATTCTTTTATGTCCAATTCCTGTTTAAGGCAGGAGGAAGTCTCCCCAACTGCAACTGCCACAAGCACCACCACCCAAGCCTGTCACTTATGCCTGTGACTCACACTTCCAGGAACCCCTTAGAGTAATGTGGTCATCCCCCTTGGCGCTCTGAAATGTACATTATTAATGAGATATATATTAATAAATATTAATATTGACAGAATGTGCATTTCACTGGATAGACACTACTTAAAGTAGAGTTCATCAGAGGTTCACTAACATGGACAAAATCATTTTAAAATGTAATGAACATTCAAGAATTTGAAATATATGAGTATAAAGATGATAGAGTATCTGACAGAAATGTTTTTTTTTTTTTTTTTTTGCTTTACAGCCACCTGAATTAACAACCTAAAAATGCTTTTGATGCTGTGGAACTTGCCCACAATAAAAACAGTATGTAAATATGATCCCATTTTTGTTAAATTACGTGTATGTGTTTATAGAAAAATGTATGAAAGGGTAGTCCCTAGACTATTGATAGTGTTTAACTTGGAATTTGGAGTAGGAAAAACAGCATGGAGGGGATGCAAGATAGCAGTTACTTAGAGGGTGCTGTGAGCTGTTTGTTCTTTGCCCGTGTTGCACATAAGAAGGGGAAATGTGAAAGAACAACTACACATCTCAGTTACCATTTGCTACTTAAAGACAGCCTCTAATGAGAATGCTTAAGGGGAGGATGCTAATAGATAATAAAGGATTTGTGATTGTTAAGGCCAAATCTACTTTAACAATATTAACTATTCAATACACATAATTTTAGTAGCTAGTTCAGTAATTCAGGGTGATTTCTGCCAATGGAGTAACTTTCTTTGTTGACAAAGTAAAACACTTAAAGAAAATTATTTGTAAATAATAAAACTAATTTCCAGTAATTGTGGGATATTTACTTCTAATTCTTTTAATTGGGAAGGAGCACAGCTAGAAAAGCTTATATTGACTCCTTCTGTGAGATTCCAGTTTCTTTTAAAATTTTAAAGAAAATAAAGTGCTTATTACTGAGCTTTTCTTACTAAAATTTGGAATACCTTCCAGGAAGGTAAAATACTTTATGATGTTGAATAATATAGTTTTCAGTGTTTTGGTTTTTTTGTTTTTGTTTTTATGATAACTCTCTTAGGAAGAAAGACTTTAGTCAAGTGATGATCTTGCAGTTGCAAATTTCAAAGATGATGATAGCCATCTGGCTTCTGATTGATTCCTTCTATTTCTATTTACACCAAACTTGTCTTTTTTTTTTAAGATGCTGTGCCACAAAGCATCTAATCAAATCTCAATCAAATTTATTGTTTAAAAACAAGTGAAATCCTACATTTCAAGCCTAGGAAAATTAGCTCATTTCAACACTGCACTTTCAAAATCTTAATTGGTCCCAGATGTTTGATTATAAACCATATTGTAGAAAATGGAAGGAAGAAAACCACACATGCATTGAATGCCAAGTAGATGATTTAAGTGATGTGTCATTTAATGAATTTTCAGAACAGCCCTGAGAGGTAGTGAGGTCAGTGAAGCTCAGAAAGGCTAAATGTCTTGCCCCAAGTCACACAGCTAGTAACTTCCAAATAGAATTCTGATTCCTCTGTAATACACACTCTTTCCACTACACTGAACTTAAAGATATTCATTCATAACAAGACACATTCAGGAGGAAAAGGCTTTCAGGAACAACATCTTAGAGGTCATCTAGATCAGCTTTCCAAGTACTGCCGGAATCACTCTTAGGACATCTCTGAAAGGCAATCAGCCAACTTTGGCTTAAACTCTTCCAGGGAAAGGGAGCACCATAGTTTTCACTACAGCATGACCTATTGTTAAACAGCCATGGTTATTATAAGTGAATTAAAATCTGCATTGCTATAATTTGTCATTAGGCCACTTTTCTCCTCTTGATTAATTCAAAATATGTTTGCTTTTATTCCACGTCTGCCCTTCAAATGGTTAAATGCTGTCTACATCTTATCCAAACTAAACATCCCCAGATTCTTCAACCATCCTTAAGAATAGTTTCCAGATCACTCAAAACAGTGACTCACCTTTGAACACACTACTTTGCATAGCCCTCCTCAATTATGGTGACCATAATGAGCATTTCGACACATGATTTCCCTAGAATAGTCTTCATAAGGACACGTCTATATTTCTATTTCTGTATTAATATAAATCTTCATAAGGTAGTTTAGCAGTTGGATTTCCTGCTTTTCAGAAACTATGTATCTAGTCAGTTCTTAGAGCGACCATTTGGGTAAGACAGAAGTCTAATTTCTCTGATGAGTTAATCCACTGACTTATTTATCATAACACTTGGAGAAAATTGTAGCAAATAGCATCTCACTGACCTCCTTTAGGTGACCAGAGGAAGGGGGGGAAGGGGAAATCCCTTATATTTTTCATCCTCTAAAGAATTTTGACCTAAATATATGTATTAGTTATTTATTGCTGCAAAACAAATTGCCCCTAAAACTGGGTCAGAATTTTGGGAGCGTCTTTGCTGTTGGTTCTGGTTTTGAGTCTCTCTTGAAATTGCAGTCAGGATTTCAGCTGGCATTTGGTTGTCAGAAGGCTTGATTGGAACTGGAGGATCTACTTCCAAGATGGCTTACTCCTAAGGCTGGCAAGTTGGACTGGTTGTTGGTGTGAAGTCTCTGTTCCTCCCCATGTGGGTCCCTCCACAGGACTGCTTTTGAATGTCCTTACAACCAGACAGCTGGATTCCCCCAGAATGAGGGAATCCTAGAGACCAAGGCTGAAGCAGCAGTGCCTTTCGTGACTTAGTTTCTGAAATCTTACATTGTCACCTACATGGTGCGCTATTTGGTCACATAGGCCAGCCCTGAGTCATTGTAGGAGGAGAGTAGTATGAGCATGAATACTAGGAGGTAAGGACCTCCTGTCATACTGGAGGCCAGTTACCATAATGTACCTTACCAAAGCATAGCAGGTCATAATGGATACCCTGTTCCTTCTGTATGCAGCTATCCAAGTCCAAATCCCAATAGTAACCTTGCAGTTGGTTCACAACTGCATGCCCTTCCTCTGGCATTTAGCTTCTCTTCCCAGAGATGTTTCACCAAGTTCCTCCCCCCAAAATTAGAACTATCTAACTCTATTGGCTATATTTCTCAAATGTTTATAAATGTTTATCTTTTTTGCTAAAAGTAAATATAGTTTAGCTGAGTTTGGGAATATTAAAAAGGTAAGAATAATCACTAAATTGAACATGGAGAGTAGTCATGGGCCTAACTCAGGGGTTCTTAATCTGGGTCCAGAGACATACCCTGAATTATCTATAGGACTGTGCATTTATCTGGAGGGAGAGTCCATGGTTTTTATCAGCTATTATTTATTTATTTATTTATTTTTGGCTGTGTTGGGTCTTCGTTGCTGTGCGCGGGCTTTCTCTAGTTGCAGCGAGCTGGGGCTACTCTTCGTTGCGGTGCACGGGCTTCTCATTGCGGTGGCTTCTCTTGTTGCGGAGCATGGGCTCTAGGTGCACGGGCTTCAGTAGTTGTGGCTCGTGGGCTCTAGAGCGCAGGCTCAGTAGTTGTGGTGCACGGGCTTAGTTGCTCCATGACATGTGGGAACTTTCTGGACCAGGGCTTGAACCCGAGTCCCCTGCATTGGCAGGCGGGTTCTTAACCACTGCGCCACCAGGGAGCCCTTTATCAGCTTCTTGAAGGGGCCATTTGTAATGCCTTTCAGAGCAGCAACAAAATTTAGTCCTCATTGTAAGGTTTTTCCAGTTAAAGGAAATGGGTTTTTGAGCCATTTACCAAGTTACTGCCTCAACGGCCCCAAAACACTGTTCATTGCCTGCTTTTTGATAATAGAAATAAACCCTGTAAATATCAATACTTCTCCTTTTCCAGCTTTCATGATATTAAGCTTTGTCAGTAAAGAGCACTGGAGGGACACTAGAGGAAGAATAGAATTCTCTACCTGTGTAGTGTAGCATGCTCCCTTAGGCAGGCTCTTACAGCACGTGTGGCTTCTGCAGCTCTCAGTTCCAGCAGTGCCCAGTGGCCAGCAGTGTGTAGCACCTCCCGTGAACAGGCAACTTTGCAGGCAACACCCATGAGCATCTTTCCCTGGAACCCCATCAAATGGCTTCACATGGAGTACCACCAGTACAACACTGTTCATGAATAGCTTCCCCTCACACCCCTTAGCCAGCTTTTCTCCCTCAGCAAACTTCTCTGACATCAAATGAGCCACAGTCACTGGACTTCTTCAAGGAGGGTCTATCTCAGCCCTTAGGGCAGTAGATGATCACTATATCAGATTTTCCTATATTCTTTAGCATTTTCTTAGTTCTTTGCTATCCATCTCCTTATCACTCCAATTCCTTGTTATAAATGGTAATTCTTTAACCTTCCATGTTCAAAATATTGTTTGATTTCTGTCTCTTGATTGGACCCTAACTGATACAGAATTGGTATCAGTAGTGATCCCAGGAGAGAAACACACAAAGAATTTGAGGATTGCCTTGGTCATGCCCTTTGGCTGGGTTCCTCCCCATTGAGAAGTGAGATGAGGGCATTAAAGTAAGCAAACTGTCATCTGTGGTTGATCGTGATGACACGTCAGCTGAAGCAAGAGATTGCCCAGCTCGATGCTGCACTTGACCATTATGGCAGTTAAGATGTCTCTAAGGACAATAGTATGGCATAGAGTCTTCTGAGTGTCCTTTAGCACTTATAGAAAGGAAATCACAAGCTCGTTTCTTTCAACTCTCAGCTCAAGCCACAGTCTAAGACCAGAAAGCTTCCATGATAACTATAAAAGAATCTTTTAGTTCTTTCAGACACAGGGGTGATATTGTCAAAAATCAAGCACAAAATTTTATTATATGGATTGCTGAATTGTAGCAATAGTTGTATTCGCAGTTCCATCAAATTTTTCACACGACAAACTAGCGGTTATCAGTGGCGGGGGCTAGTGGTATACAGGTGGGGGAGTGAGAGGTACAAACTCTTGGGTATAAGATTGGCTACAAGGATGTATTATACAACATGGGGAATGTAACCAATATTTTGTAATAACTGTAAATGGAGTGTAACCTTTGAAAAATGGAGTGTAACCTTTAAACATTTTTAAAAGGAAGAAACAGAAAAGAATGGGCAGAGAAGAAAGACCAGGGTTACAGAAAAAAACAAAGTGTACTAGGCAAAAAGAAAAAGTGTACCAAGAAAGAAAAAGGGAAACCCAAAGTAGGATGCAGCCTGCATTTTTTAACATTATCATCATCATCATTATTACTAAAATAAAATGGCTAATTTTTTTTTCATTTTTTACATAAAAGTTAAAGCATTGAATGAGAAAGAATGGGATCCTGAAAATTGGAATGGGGACAGCTGCTTGAACACAGATGAAGCTAATCATCTTGAAACTACAAGTCACTCCAAGCTACCTCTATTAAAGAAAGAAGTTTGCCCTCTGGAGACTAGCCTTCCTTTGCTTAAAAACTCTGTGATAACCTCACCAGGGAAGATGCCTTAAAACGGAATATTTATTCTCCACAAGACACACTATAACCACCCACTACTGCCCCTAGACCTAAAACTAGGGTTAAATCTCAGCATTCTCCATGGCGACAGGTACACACAGTGACCCAGGAAGAAATCGCTTACACACCAAGATAATTACAAGACTTTACTAATCTATATCAGCAGAAATAGGAAGTATATTCTAAGAGTGTTAGACCTCAGAGGGTGAAATACAGCACTAGATTGAGCCAAATTAATGGATATAGTGCACTTAGTAGATTCCAGGCTTGATGTGTTAGTTCAGGAAGCTGAAGGTAGCTCTCACGATTGATTGGTCGACTGAAACTTGGACTCAACCATGGCCTACATTTAATATAGCTGAGATACCAGAGCTATCTACATCATGTAGATAAAGGAATCCAAGAGCATAGGGAAATAGGTATGTTAAATGTATTGTGTGTTACCTGCACACCCACCTGTCCCCTTCAACGTTCCATGAGAAGGCCCAGAAGACACTCACTTCACTAAGGCATTGAGAAATACATGAGTGAGGGGAGCTCCCACATCCTTGTAAAGCTCTGTGTTGCTCTCATTTGTAGACCAGGCATGACTAAAGGGGATGCTGCCACTGAGATAAACTCCCTAGTTATAGTGCCATTTGGAAGACAGCACCCTGAAAGGATGAGAATCTGTTTCATAGGATGCAATATATCCTTTGGATCAGAGACCATTATATGCAGAGGAATGTCAGTTCTTAGCTCAACTGCAACAATACTTAATGTTCACCATTTACAATAATAATATTTGTGCTACTCACTATAATAGAGGACACAAAGAATAGTAAGATATACTTGCCTTCAAGGGGTTTCCAACTTAGGAGAAAATAAGACAAGCCCACAAATGACTGTAGGACAAAATAGAGTAAGGGCAGTATCCCAGGCCCTTCTGCAACCCAGCCAGTTTATGTCTCAGCCAAAAGCAGAAGAGGAAAGTGAGGGATCTGCTGTATCGAAGTGGACTGGGGGCAATTTGCAAGAGGCAAACAGTAATTTGACTTGACTCTTCCTTTCCTCAGCTTTTTCCAACTTTTTCTCACATTTCCCCCAGATTATATGCTCATTAAAACCAATCCACTGCCTTTCCACAAGCCCAGCCGACACTGTAAGTTCAGAGAGGTCTAGCTATGCCACAGGAGATAAGATGGACCTCACACTACCAGGCATGCATGTCTACCTCCCCCTTCTTAAGGCCTACTTTTCACTGTGCCATCCTTAAGGACAAGCCTCATCCTTTTTTATTACACTCTCCACCATCCCTCCCATTTCGCTTCCAGTAACTGCAGCAATTTCTTTATGTTGGTGGTGGCTTCCTAATTAGTTGTGTTAAGATTCTGAGGCCAGATCTGGGATCAGCAGGATAATTGATTGATTTAACTGACATGGGTTAAGGAAAGGGAATGACAACTAAGTCAAGTGCTTCAAATACAGTGCACTAGAAACCCACTTCATTCATTCAAAGTATTTCACATTTCAAAGGTTTTGTACTTTCTATCTTATCTCAAAAAATATTGCCAAAAACATGCGTAACAATTAAGTAGTTTCATAACTGGTCAATAGAAAAGGCCAAAGTTCTTGAGAAAAATCTTGTCTTCTTAGTTTCTTTCTTTGTGTCGTGACTCCCTAGGGTTTGTAAACTAGGCTGAATCTTTGAAACAGCAAACTAGCTTTGACTAAGAAAATTTGTTAAATTCCAGGCTTTAGAGAGTAATAGGACAGCTTCTTGAGTATAGTCTTTGTAACACTCATTCTTAAAGAATGCAGGATTTTATCTCCCTGAAGGAATTTATGTTTCACAACTTTGATGTTGCCCAGTGCAAAATGCTCAGCTCTGTTGCAAGAATTTGTAACTAAGATCATTCCAGAATGAAGACAAAGCAATTTAACATTAATCGAGTACTTATTACAGATGTGGAGTGTGCTAGGTGTGTTTATGTAGTGATCTCTTTGAATCCCTTCAAGATAAACCCTGAGACCTCACTTGCAAACTTTCCCTGCCCCATCCTTAGATGTTTTGTCTGTACTTCTATGTGAAATCTATTTCATTTACCATGTGATAATTATCTCTTGATAAGTCTGTGAGCTCCCTGAGGCTAGATATCATACCTTAAACAAATTTTTTATCACTGTTGCCCAGGACAACCCCTTTTTCTTAATAACAATGAATATTATTGACTAAATGATAATACTCATTTTACAGAGAAGGTAAATGAGGTAAGTAATTTGCCCAAGGTGACTCAGTTAATAATTGATAGAGCTGTTGATACGAAAGCCTCTGAATTTTATGGCATTTCCTATTTGTCTGTGTTTAACACCACTTCTAACTTCCGTACCTGTAGGATTTGGGGTAACCATCTATGTCCTCTTTCATGTATGCAATAGCAGACAGTAGAGTGTCTGGGAAAACTACAGGACAGAAATCTGGGCCAAATTGAGGAATACCATGAGGTCAGCAAAAGCGTCACAGGGACGAAGTTCAGAAGTGATGGGGGGACATCCCTCTTCAGACATCTGCTAGGAATCTCAGGTAGCCAAAAGCAACATCCCTGATTAACTATAAACTTGCTCGTTAACTACGCAGAAAAGCAGAGAAAAAAAAAACACAGGAATTTCAGCATTGTACCTAATTCTTATCTCTTATATACTTTCCTCTGACATTTAATGATTAGCTATACCACATGCATTTTCCTGCTAACTCCTCTGCCAAACTCAGTATTTTAATCTATTATATTTTATTGCACATGTGACTAGAATCTCCTATAATTATTATACACTTGCAGCTTTTTATTTTGTGTCTATGAAAGTTATTCTTTGTTAACACAACCATTTTTATTCACTCTTATTCACTCTCACCCCAAATTGCAGCTTATAGAGTAACACTTCAGGAAGGGAAATATTTGAGGCACTCTCCTTATAGCAACCTGCATTTGTGAGGATGCCAAGAAACCTATGAAAGAAAATAAGCTTAAAGAAGGAAAAGAAAGCTCAGCATAAATTAATACTTTTTCTCAGATGCATGTGAGAGATGGTCTTCTTTGCTCCCCACCATTTATGTATTACTTCTCCAGGGTTTTTTTTGTATTTTTGTTTTTTTGTTTCAAAATTCATTTATAAACCTCCATTTTGGATAGGGGGTCTCATTTTGACTTATTATCAATAGAAACCATTTTTCTTATTATTTCATAGGATTTTTTTATCAGCTATGATTTTCTTTTATTTAAAACATTTTTAACTTCATAAGAAATTCTAGTCTAATTTGTATAGCCTAACCATCCTAAGTTAGCAACTATCATTATTTTTTATTTCTTCTGATTTTCATTATATCTGTATGCATATTTATAATGAAATTCATATGTATATAGTTTTATAATGTTATAATAGTATGCACACACAATTTTAGAAATTCCTTTTTTCATGTAAAAGTGTTTTTATAAATTCTTTTTATTTCTATTTGGTTATTTTTTATTTCTACATAGTCGTATTTATCAATGCTGAAGTTTCAAAATGAAATACTATATCAACATGCCATAATTTTATTTAACCATTTCTCAAGTCTTAGATATGTGAGTTCACAGTTTTTTTATTTTTAAAAATAATGCTTCTATAAACATCTTGGTTTGCTTAGCCCTTATACTTGAAATATATTCCCAGAAGAATGATTACTAAGTCAAAGGATCTGAACTCTTGATATACATTGTCCATTATATTTTAAATCAACTGAAAATAAATTTAAATATTTGGCATTATTTATTTTAACTTGCTTTAGCCCAACTGTTAATATATTATGCCATCAAACATTTTAAAATATGCTGAAAATATGTCATTTAGTTTATTTTGTTGCAAGTGATAATCAGCTAACCATCAAAAAGGCATGGCTGGATTCAGGAGTTTTCTTTCCCATTCTTCATTTATTTCCCAATGATATTATGGGTATCATTCCTTGTTGGGCTTTCTTCATAGTAGGAAAATGGCCACTGGAGATCTCAAGCCTAGTTATTTAAGACTATGGCTTCCATATATCAGATCTCATTGAAGGATTCTGATTACCCTTGCTTGACTCTAATGCCTATTAATCATTTTGTCCGTGAAGACGTAATACTGTACTCAGATTGGCCCATCTTGGTCAAATACTGACCCTAGGGGTGTGGGGAGGTGGAGGGCAAGGCACCATGACTGGCAGCCCTACTAGAACCATGGACTTGGAAAGAGGTGAGGGGCTTAGAGGAGCTATTGGCAGACAAAACCAACATATCCATTTCTTATATTGTTTCTAAACTTCTTCATATCTATAAATGTAAACGTAGACTTGCCCCTCTTTAAGATTGTGAAGTAAGAAGTTTTACTTTCTTGCTCCCTTATCTCCCCTTTCTGCATGCTTCTCCTTTCTCCCAGACCTACCACCACTGTCCAGCGACCTAATGTTCTCGCTAATCTGTTTTCTATCAAAACCTACTTTCAGTTAACAGGAGTTGAAAAGAATCCAAAAAAATCAAATTAAGACCCAGGACTCAAATTACTTTCCTCCATAGAGTTGGTTAGTTTTTAATCGAGGACAATCATACAAGACTAAGAAAGGTAGAATTTGAAGGGGAAGGGGGACACTTGAGCACCTTCAAATACTCCCCTTCTACTAGGAATTCATTTTTTCCCCCTTTAGATTGCTAGTAATATCTTTAGTGAAAAGAATGTAAGAGATGAATAGAACCCAGGATCACTAACTTGAATCCTGTCCATTCAGCTAGATCCCCAGAGGAAATACACATGTAGAAGACAAGGCTAGCCAGTGCATGCTCTTTATTACCGTGAGGCTTTTGCCCAAACCCCACTATTTAACAAAGCAGACAAAAGTGGTCAAGAGCATAGGCTCTGGAATCAGCCCAACCTTTGCTCAAAAGTG